GTATTTTATTTATTAAACAAACAAAAAAGCAAAAAAATTCATATAATCTTAATTCTTATTCACATACAATCAATATTCCTTATCAAGATAGACCCAAAGTAGCTCAGGTTCTCAATGTTAATAACCATCTGCTAAAAGCCACAAATCTTAATTCTGTCAAAACAGAGGAAAAAATATACAAATAGCACTCACTGGGGGTAGAGTTGGGATGAGGTAGACATGGAGATGTCCACCACTTCCCTTCTCCTTTCAACTGCACAAATGTTCATAGAAGAAACTTCCAAGCAACATGGATCTTTACACAAATCACATATCCAGAGGTAAGTGGAAACTGGAGGGAAGACACAGTAAAGACCACCAGAGGAGAACAAAGTGTGGGAGGAAAGGTGCCATCCAGCTACTTAACATCTTCTGGAGGGAAACGGAAGAGGACAGCATGGTGCCGACACTACGTCTAGCAGACAAGGTGTTTACTGTTTATGTAGTTCAAATATATTGGTATTCTTTGAAAAAAAATGCTGTCATCTGTTTTCTTTTTGTATCCCATTTTATTACACACACACACACACACACACACACACACACACACAAAGGAGTCCTGACTAGTGTCACCTCACACCACCTTACTGGGTCTGGGGCTGCCAGGTAACAGCAGAAGTTCATTTCCCAAGTGCAATTAGTGGTCCATTCAGACAGAAAATGACAGAGGGTGGATGAGGAACACTCCCTCATTGGGTTATTGAAATCTGGGGCAGAGCTAGAGTGATGTCTCAGTGGTAAGAGCACATGCTGCTCTTATGAAGGACTGGGGTCTGATTACCAGCATCCACACTGAGTGGCTCACAATGGCCTATAATTCTAGCTCTATGGGATCTTACACCTGTGGACACCTACACGCATGTGCACATACCTTGATACGGACACATACACATAATTAAAAAGAATAGATATTAAAAACAAAAAATCTGGTGGAGAAGGAAGGCATTATTTTTTTCTTGGTGTTCATGGGAAGTATGGGAAATATTGCCCAAGGATTTTCTGCCCTGTTACTTCACTTTTCGCCAGTTTTCTCACTAAGAAACAGATTTGCTTTAGATTACTTTTGTCTGGGTGAGCTCAGGGCTCTGAGTTGGAACCTTTGCCTTGTCCTTTCAGAGTACATGGAAATGTAAGGAAGCCTGAGTCTCATTGCTATGCTGGCCTCAAGCCCTTAAGTCCCTAAGCAACCCTAAGCAACCCCTTTTCTTTACACCTTCCAATGTCTTCCTGTATGTTTTTGTTTTGATTTGTTTTTATTTATTTTATTTTATGTCTATGAGTGTATTGCCTACATGTATGTAAGTGCATCTATGTCATGAAATGCCCATGGAGGTCAGAAGAGGATATTGGATCCCCTGAACTAGAGCTACAGATGGTTGTTAGCCACAATGTGGGTGCTGGGAGCTGAACCAGGGTCCTCTGTAAGAGAGGTTGGTGAGCTTCTGAGTCATCTCTCCAGCCCCGCGTTCCTGTATATTTTTGTTGTACTCCATTTCGAATTTTCTTTTTGGTAGTAATGGCAGATCCTAGGCAGAATGAACCTGCTTTATCTTCTATGGAACCAGAAATCCATGCTTTCAAGCACGTGAACATATTCATTCACTTTGCAGCCATTTATTCCATTTTTTGATTCAGAAATTTACTGTAATGCAAACTAGCCTGCCAGGTTGAGGTGTGGACTTTGCTATATTTGGAAATGAAAGGGATTGCTAGTGAGAACTTTGTAATAAAGTCCCCTAATGGTGAAGTGTTCTCAAGCAGCTCATCACTCTACCCTCTGCATAGAGTGGGTGTCTTAAGAGAACTCAAAGTATTACAAAAATATTTGTGACCTTGATATTCTACTTAGCTTGTATATACCCCAGTCATATCTCCCTGTACAATAGGGCTTAGAAACTCTCAGAGTCAGTGGTTCAAATCAGAGCAAAAGTTGCATTCAGCCACCCATTAATTAATTACTGCTTTAATTTACTCATAAAATGTGCATTTAAGTTTACTAAGTCCTATGATGCAAGGGAAAATTAGACATTGGGAGAAGAGAACATTATTATAGCTGCACACAAGAAGTTCCTGGCATTGTGAAAGACAAGTCCTAAATCTATAGCTATCAGTGCACAAAAATCTTGACATACACATGGTTCTATAAGATTCTATAGCAGTGTCCTTAGTTAGGTTTTGAGCTTCAAGATGGTCCCTAGGGGATGGAGAGATGGCTCAGCAGTTAAGATAGCATTTGCTGCTCTTGCAAAAGACGTAGGCTCAATTCCCAGCACCCACATGGTAGCACACAACCACCCGTAAATCCAGTCCCAGGGGATCTCTTTTGGCTTCTGTGGGCATTGCACACATGTGGTGCACTTACATTCATACCTGCAACACACTCATACCCATAAAATAAAAATAAATAAATCTTAAAGAAGATGGCTCCCTAGAAGTGCTAAAAAACATGGACTGGTATCTGCAACACAAATAGATGTTGCCCAGGGGAAGGGAAAAGGGTATTGCAAATAAGGGTACTGTGTATGAGAAAGTCACGCAGCGGAGTGTGGGCATGCTTAAAATTCGAAAGAAGAGGAAATATCGTAAGAGATAGAAGGGAAATAAAGACTACACTGGAGATCTTAAATATTTTATGTATAGTTTAAAAATCATCTTACCCAGTAACAAGTTCCCATGTGGGATTTTCATTCATCTTGGTTGATTCTGCTCCCATTATCACCTTGCCCCACCTCCCCCCACACTGTACCATTTGATCCCAAGTGTTTTCCCTTCCAGTTTGTTCTCCACTCCACTCTCTTAAAGCCTGTTTATACCCTCCAATTCTCATGGGCCCTTTTCTAGTTAGAGGCTAGAATCTATTGAAGCTTTAATGAAGAAAATAATTATTTAGACTTATGGCTATGGTGGTTCTTTGGTGCATGACTTGGAAGAGGAAGAGATATAATAGGAAATTTTGGTAGGGGTTGTGTTCATTAGGCTTCCTCAGAAAACATGGTATGTTCATTTGTGTATATGTATACAATTACATGGATAGACATACACATCTATATATATCTTTTATAAATGTTCATGTATTTATTACAATATATTTAAAATTATATTATTTTTGAAATATTTATAAAATATTTATATTTATATGACTGTTTTGCCTGTATGTATGTACATGCATGCATGTGTGCTATGCCTGTAGAGGCCAGAAGAGGGTGTGAGATTCTCTGGAACTGGAGTTACAGATGGTTAGCAACCACCATGTGGGTGCTAGGAACTGAACCTGGGTTTTCTGGAAAAACAGCCAGTGTTCTTAAACACTGAACCATCTCTTCAGACCCTATTTTTATTATTTTTAATTATGTGTTTGTGTGTGTCTGTGTATAGGTATGTGCATGTGAGTGCAGATGCCCATAAAGGCCAGAAGCATCACATTCTTCAAGCTGGGGTTATAGGTAGTTGTGAACCACCTGATGAGGATACTGGGAACCAAACAGTCTTCTGAAAGAACAGTATGTGCTCTTCACCCCTGAGTTATCTGGTTATCTGTACAGCTTCAATATTTATATTTCATTACAAATTTTTATATGTGTATGTGATACAGATATATACATATATGTATACAGAGTAAGACAGAGAGAAAGAGGGGGGAAATTAAGCAATTTTCTCATGCAAGTACAAAATCCACAAGGTAGGCAAACAACTTGAAAATACTGGCAAGAAGTTGATGCTGCAATTTAGAGCATAGAGGCCATCAGTCTTTTAAGACCATTGGCTATCTAGACAGGACCCATCTATATTGGAAAAGATAATTTGCTTCATCCATTGACTATCAATCTAAATGTCAATCATGTTTAAAAATTAATATCAAAGGTATATTTGAACTAGTGTTTTACTAAACATCTGTGAACCACATCCCAATCAAGTTGACAGAAAATTAACCCTCAGACTAGAACCAATCATTGTAAGCTAAAAGTGAAGAGTTCAGCCTGAAGCAGAAGCATGGACAATGAAGACAGAGCAAAGAAGGTAAACCTGGGTCTCAGAATGTGTAAAATTTCACAACCAAACATAGCAGTGAATAGAGGGGACAGAGAAATTATCCTTCTGAGTCCATAAATTGTGTGAGTTATAGGGCCTCTTACTAGAAAAGACCAAGCTGGGCTTAAAAGACAGGACAGAGAAAGACAGACAAAGTGGATACTATCAGTGCACACAGGTAAATTAAGACTCTCGCGGGTTGGTGGGGATGTGGCTCAGTGGTACAGACCTTGGTTACCGAGTACCAGGCCCTGGGTTTCATTTCTACCACTATACAGAATAAAAAGGATCATCAGGAGAGCAGGTTAATCAGGGAGACCTCATCCTTTTCTTTCATGAGGTCCCTGCCTTATAGCCAAAGTCAGAAACCAGCAACCCAGACCAAAATGCTATGTTGAGTCCACAAACCTCATCAATACCAGGCAATAATACAAGTAAAACAACCCCAGGAACTGTATGGTGTGTTCTATTTGACATTTTCTCTCAAAGGTATGTCCAGTAATGACCGTTTTTGCCAACGTATCTCAGAACAAGCTGCTGTTGAAAATGAATGCAGTCACAGAATTTGCATGCTCTATAACCTCCATTTATAGCAGATAGCTACTTGTGAAAACAACTGTAAATGAAAAGAATTTTCAGCAGGTTATTTTTATAAGAAATAATTCTTTTCTTAATTATGTTTAAATGTATTAATTGTAACTCACTGTGAACCTATGATTTGCCTCTTAATATCTGAATGTTTATCCTCTACATTTGCTGAAATTAACCACTGAAAATGATATATTTGGCCAATTATGTATTAGAACACATACTTCAGTCACACCTTCCTTTCATTATTATGTCTATGAAACATCATTACTATATCAAGTCCTACAAAATAACATGTCTCTAAGAAAATATTTTCCTGCTAAACTGTCTCTTCAGAGCACCTTTAATCTCATTATTCATAAGACTGTAGATAATAGGATTCAACATTGGGATCACCACTATGTAGAACACTGATATCACCTTGTTCTGGTCAGTGGGGTAGCTGGAACTGGGCATCACATAAATGAATGTGACAGTCCCATAGTACAGAATGACTGCAGTGAGGTGGGAGGTGCAGGTGGAGAAGGCCTTCTGGCGGCCCTCAGTGGAGTGCATCTTCAGGATGGTGAGGAGGATGTAGATGTAGGACAGGGCTATGACTAACACTGTGATCACAATGACAAGGGCAGAAGAAAATGAAGTAACAGCTACAGGGACACTGACATCAGAATAGGAGAGTTAACCAAAGGAGCAAAGTCACAGAAAAAAATGATTGACTCTAATTTGGTCCACAGAAAAGAAGAGATGAGAGGGATAAAACAAAAGAGGAAGCATTAAGAAAGCCGCCCATACAAGCTACTGTAAATAACTGGAGACGGACTTGTGTGGACATTTTGGTTGAATAAAGCAGTGGGTCACAGATTGCCACAAAGCGATCATAAGCTATGACAGCCAGAAGGTAGGACTCAAGTGTCCCAAAAGAAAGCAGCTGAGCCAAGCTGGATGACACACCCAGGAGATAGTATTCCTCTCCCCAGGAAGTTAACAAGCGTATTGGGTGTGACAGAAGATGAAGAACCAATGTCAGTAGAAGCCAAGCGGCTCAGAAAAAAGTACATGGGGTGACTGAGCTGAGGAGAGACTCTGATTAGCAGGATTGTGCCAAGGTTTCCAGACAGGGTCACCGGGTAGATGCACAGGACGATGATGAAGAGGATGACTCGAAGGACTGGGTCATCTGTTAAGCCAAGTAAAGTGAACTCTGTCACTGCAGTGTGGTTCCCATCTACCAGGAGAGCCATGGGACAGTGTGGCTGCTGCCAGGACAAAGCTGAGATGAAGACATTACATGAATGAATTTATAAATATGTGGTTTCAATTTCATTAACATCCCTACAGTGTTATTATAAACAAATGTGTCATTCAAAGAAAAAAAACAAAAATTCGTTGAAGAAAAATTTAAACTAATAATTTTATTTTTACTCTAGAGTTTCAGAGTTTATATATTTATTCATAATGACTCAAAAATTGCTTCATAAAAGAACACTAGAAAAATTGTTTCAAGTAATATATAACTAAATATTATTAGATGCATGCAAAATGGCTTTAAAGCTAAAGATTTTAAAATGAGACATAAAAATAACAAAAAATCATAAGCATTACAAAATGATTGCAATATATAAATATATGATGATGGGATAAAGATTTTAGGAATAGGTAACATTTGCTGAATACTTGCTAAATTACCAGCTCAGATGTTAAAATTTATATATAATTATATTATCTTATTTTTACTTTTACTTAATATTTTTATTTTTGAAAATTCATACATAAGTATTGCTCTTGCATTATTTCCATCCCTCCCTTATCCCTCCACCCCTTTCAGCTTATCATCCTTTTCTTTATCATAGTTTCATATGCATAATGTTTATAAATACACATATGTATTATAGATTTATATTGTAATTTCCATGAGGTAATTTCCATAATTTTATTATTTACATTTTACAATAGAAGAAACTGAGTTTGAAAATGTTACAGCACTTACAGAAGCTTGCCCAGGAAGGAGAAGAATCCGGAGACAAGCCCCAGGCAGGTTGAACTATTTTCATTCATTTTTAATTATAATATAGATAAAATAGTTGTTACAATCAAGTAAATAGCAGTCATGATGCACTGGAGTAAATGCATCCACCAGATTAGCTCTTAAGCTTTCTGGCAGCATCAAAGAGCTGCCTCTTTGTTGTCTAGGTCACAATGTCTGTCCATTAAAGGAGACAACGTTTTAGAGCAAATTTTGAAATGAGAAATAGAAGTAGGATTTCTTTATAGAACAAGGGTAAAATAGCGATGAACTCCAAGTGGTACATGCAGCTACTATTTAAACATTTCAAAGATCTTCAATTAAATCATTGCTTTCTAGCATAATTGCTATGCAAAATATCATGTGACTAATATTTAGACTGTAAGCATTAAACTTTAAACGTGCCAAGTCCTTTCCTAATTAACAATATGTTTTAACTGAAGAATGATAGAATTAGGCAATATGACTTTTAACAATGGTATAAGATGATAAAACTCTCAGCTAAAAAGATAAGTGGTATACTCAGGTTCACTCACCCAGGGGCATGGTTGGATCTCATCTCCCCACTCACACGTTGCTTTTATTTCCCTTTCTTTGCCTGAAGTGCTGGGCTTCTGTGATGCAAAAATATACAATCATTAAAGTGGGTCTTTCTAAAAGACATTTCCTAAGGCAAGTTTCTAAAGCATTTCAAAATTATTAAATAGTTCAGCCTTATGACCGAGTTCTTTTTAGATACTATTAAAGACTGCCATGGGGTTCTGGTTTTAGCAGTAGTAAATTGATTATGCCAGCTTATTCACATTAACTCCACAATGGAAATTGCTACCTTGTAGCTTGTTTTTATTTGCACTATTGCTAAAGCAAGGCTCTGGAGATACAATTTCAACTCTTCAGTGGTAAATGGAAACAACAAACCAGATTCATTCACAAACGCCAAAATTTCACCTCTTGAAATAAGAATTCATTCGTTTTACAGCAAGAAATTACAAGTCTTTATTATCACATTGCAGCTCTACTATTTTTTATAACTGTTTGGCTTTGGGGAAAAGTCTATGAAGATGCTAGGAATTCAAATGCAACAGGGAACATTACCACACTCTCAAGTGACTACTGAGCAGTTCAATACATATAAGCATAACTAATGTTTGTGGAGTCTGTCCATCCAGAAATACCTATTTTTATGTATTTAGTGGTGTAGTTGTATTTGATGATTACAGCAAGTAGATACATCATCTCATACCTGACTATTGGCCTTAAGTTTACTTTACTAATTCATGTTAGCCCACCAGGCTCTGTTGTTAAGTTCCAAACCTTGGATTATACAGAAGGCCCTAGTTAAACTCTATGGGACACTAAACAAAACAAAAACTATCAAATATGCAAAAGGAGATTTGTAAGGAAGAAGCAAGGTAGGAAGTAAATAAGAGTGCAAGGGGGAATTAATGAGAATGCTTTATAGAGATGGATGAAATTGTCAAAGAAGAAAATCTGTTAAGAAAAAATACAAAATTGAAAATATGAAATGGTAGTGTTAGCTTTTTTCACTCAACACATCTTCATTTTATATATATTTTGTAATGATAACCGTAAGTCACTTGCATCACATTTCTTTGAGAAATATGGGGAGGGAAATAACATGACTATTCAAGACGTGAACATAATATTTACAGCGAAATGTACAAAATAAGTTCTTTCCATTTACATAGAGAACTGTTAACTGAATAGAGGTTTGGATGACTTCCACATACGACTTTGTCTTTCATAACCCATACTTTACAGGGATGACTACTGGGTCATGGCTTACATGACAAAATGGAAGATGGTAGAAATAGTAACCTTCAACCTGAAGACTCAATCTATCTCTCTTGCTAACCCTAATTTTAGAGAATTCTGCCTTATGCTCCTGATGCCCACGTAATGCAAGCTGTTAACTGTTGACCACTAGCCTTCATTCAGAGCTTCCTTTGCCAAGCTTTGCACCAAATGTTCATACATACCATCTTATTAATCCAAACAATGATTTGATGAGGCAAGGATCCCCATGTTTTAGATTTATTTATTTATTTTTATTTTAGGTGTATGAGTGTATGTATATGTACCATGTGGTGCCCACAGAGGCCAGGGGGATTGTTGACTTCTCCAGAGCTGGAGTTATAGAAGGTTGTGAGCTGCCATGTAGGTGCTAGGAATTGAACACGGATCTTTTGCAAGAACAGTAAGTGCTCTGAACTGCTGATTTATTTCTCCAGTCCCTCCACCCCCATTTTGCTATTTTGTAGATGAAAAAGCTGAAGTTGAGTTTATTTGTTTAAGTATACTCAATTGGTGAGAAATATCCAGGCGTTAAATGTAGATCAAATTGATTGATAAAATGCACATCCTGACTCTACTTCCATCACATTTTAAGTGCTTGATGATGACAATCGTGTTTCACAGGGGGATGATACAGTGGTCTCTCTAGTCATTCTTTAAGATGGTTCTTGATGAATTTGCATCTAGTACAAATGATTGACTAGATAGGGCTTAACATATATGGCAGAATGCATGAAATCCAGTGGGGGGAGGATTATCCATGGGTGTGGATGGGGAAAGCTGTCTAACTTTGATTAAGATCCATTATTATGAAATGTACAAAAATTCAATAAAAATATTTTTAAAAAGAAGTTTCTTAAGCATCAACTGTATTCTAGATGCTGAGTCAACACTGAAGAAATGTTAATGAACAATTTCTCATGAAATTTAGATTTTGGTGGAAAAGATACTAGAGAATACATCAACTTTATAAACACAGAATATGGTAAACATGGCCTGAAAGAAAGAAATCAATGGAATTCATATGGTGGATAAAGGGTAACTGTGTTGTAATGGAAGGTGTTAGCTTAGGGAGAGTGACAGGAAAATTCACACAGAGCAGGTAAAATGTGAGAAGAAAATTACAAAAATCCAGTTGATGTGTGCAGGGGAGAAAAGACTGCCATATGGTAAACAGCAAGTGTAAAGATCTCAGGAACCTCAAAATAAGGCCTTGGCAAGCCACACAGAGACTCACAGGCCATGGAGAAGTGTTTCAATCTCATTTTAAAAGGAATGGAACATCATGGACATATTTTTCAATAAGTATAAAGTGACATAATTTATATATATGATAATATGTGTGTGAACTGCCTTAGTTTATGCTTGTTTTGAAATGTCTTTATTCTTCCACCAATTTTAAAAGGAAGTTTTCTTGAATATAGTAATCATGTTTTCCTGGTCTCCAGGGTTGCTGATGAGAGATCTGATGTTAGTCAGATGTGTTTGCCTTTGTACTCAAGTTCATGTTTTTGCCTTACAGCTTTCTTTTTCTTTTTTTTATTGAGCCTTTTAGATTTCATATAACATTTCCCATTTAAATCACCCCCTCCCTGATCCATGCCTCCCAGGATCCCCCCACCAAACCCTATGCACTCTACCATACATGCTGAGTCCTATTCATTCAGGTGTTTGTGCCCAAATGTCCTTCAGCGTAAATGTGTCCACTGGAGTGGACCCATCCAGTGGTTGTATATCTTAAAGCTTTTAATAGAATCTTTTTACTGTGTATTTTTTAAAAGATATTTTCGTTTTAGGTATATGAGTGTTTGCCTGCATGTATCTACATGCACATTCATGTAGTACCTGTGGAATCCAGTAGATGGCATCAGATCCCCTGGAACTGGAGTTACAAATGGTTGTGTCCCCATTGGGTGATGACAACCAAATTTTGGTCCTCTGCAAGAACAACAAATGCTCTTTACTGCGGAGCTATCTCTCTAGCCCCTTTACTATGTATTTTTGACATCTTGGCTAATATTTTGTGTAAAAGTTTTGATCTATCCATGTCTATTTGAGATACTAAATGCTTCTTGTATGTAGAAGTGTATTTCTCAAGATTTGGGAAATTTTCTGAAAAAATTTGATTGAATAGATTCTCTGTGCATCTAGTGTTATTCCAGCTCCTTCTTTCCCATGGATTCTTAAGTTTTGCTTCTTGATTGTATTCTAGAGTTCTTGTTTTTCCCTTATTGGTGTTTGAATAGAGTGGTTCATTGACATTGTCCTCGATCTCTCATAGTCTTTATTTTGTTTCATTGAGTCTACTGGTGATGCTTTCTGATAAGTTTTCATTTGATTTACTGAATTCTTCATTTTCTACATTCCACTTCAAAATACCAGTTTCCTTGCTGAATTTTCCTGCCATGTTGGCACCATTTTCATTGACACTGTTTATTTTCTCATTCATTTTTCTGACTTTTTCTTGTATTTTGCTGACATTCCAGGTACAAAATTGAATTCACCTCCTTCTTTGTATCCTCCTCCAGGCCATTAGTCATTTGTGCCAGTAAACTTCTAACCTCTTCCTCCAGCATTTCCTGTACTTCAGCATCTCTGAGTTCAGTAGCTGAGGAGTTAGGGTCTTTTGGATCCGTCATGGTGCTTTGCTTTTTCCTGTTTCTTGTGTTTCTGTGTTGTAATTTGTGCAAGTTTTGGTTTGGGTATGTCTTTTGTTTTGCAAGAGGATCTTCTTAGTGAGCAGTCTACTCTTAAAAGCTTGATCCTTTGAACCACTCAGAGAGGAGACAGTAAACGGCTGCAACAGCATCATACCATTCAAGACATAGAAATACAACTAAAATGGGCTAAAACCTGTTAGTTCGTTACCAATGCCATAAAACAGAAAATGACAAAATACTCTAGAATGCTCTATGCTGTTGAAATTTATTTATGGTAAGTGTGGACATAGTAAATGAATGAGAGAAATAAAAGAGTTCTGGGAAGTGGAGAAATACAGTAGAAACAAAGTTAAAGACAAGGCAGAAACAGAAGAGTGGCGTGGAGGGGAAAGAGCAGGAGATTAGCAAAAAGAAAGGAAAAAGCAGTGTTTCTCAATGATGAGAAACTTCTAAACTCAGATTGAATAAATGTAAGGAGATATAAAGGAAATGGAAAAACAGCAACAAGGTAAAGTCAAACTGCTACTAAAAGCTGAGATGGGGTAAGAAAGGAGGAAGCAAAGTGGTCCAAACAGGAAAAAAAAAATAAGAAAAGAAAAAGTATGGCCCAGTGATGAAAAACTGCATAAAGTTAAATGGATAGATGAATTGGAATAACAAAAATAAAAATATCAAAAAATGAAGGAAAAACACTGCTAAGTCTGATAAACATAAGGAAAAAAAAAAAAAAGGAATCACAAGCATCATGCTCAGATGCCGAGGAGCTCAGAAGGTGGGTGACTGTGACCAGTGATAGTCATGTATATAGAGATTAGAAATGCATGTGAAAACGTCTCAATGTCAAGAGCCCTGGAATGAATTTTTCTGTATGAAACTGTGTGTTTTGACAACGAAGTGGAGATCTTTTTTAAACGTTGGAACCTCATTTAATTTTATGTCTTATAGAGTTTATAATGAGTAAAAGATTATATAAGCGTAATAATTCATCTGTAAACCTAGAAATGTACAGCTAATTTTGAAAGAGATGTACCCTAGCTCAGAAAAATGTTATTGAATAGGTTAATGCTGTTGTAATGAAATTCTTCTTTTAATTAAAAAAAAAAATCTCCGAGTCGGAGTGGTGGCTCAGTCGTTTAGAGCACTTGCTATTCTTTCAGCCAAGTTCAGTTTCTAGCATCCACATCTGGTGGCTTACAACAGTTTGTAACTCCAGCTCCAAGGCATCTGTGCAGGTATCTATCTGCACACATGTGGCCTATACTCATGCACACACATACACATAAATAAAAATAAATCTTAAGAAAAACCTAACGAGAGAAAGATGTTTTAAAAGGAGGAAGTGTTATTGACACATATTTCTGGGCCCTCAGAAATTGGAGACTGCCAGTTTCATGCATGGTGGGCAAGGGAAGGTCACTGAATCTGTGGATTCTCATCTTTCTTATGGTTTAGGCTGCTGCTGAGGTCCTATTAGACAGGTGTCTGGTGTCTGGCAGAGCTGTCTTTACTTTGGTAGCTTTACATCTTTGGTACTGGGGCCTCTGCTGCTCACATGTAGACTTGTGGTCTGTGGACTGGGCGGCTTCTCTCACATTCCCAGGTCTTAGTACCTGGGGTGGATAATACTGTAATTGAGGGTGTCTTCCCATGTGTATTGGGAATTTGGGAAGAAACCACAGCACTGAGACCTAAATAAGTGAAGGATTGGTTTTCATACTTCTAAGACCTGCTATGCATTAATAACCCTAATATAGTGCTGCAACTGCAGATATCAAGTACACTACTGAAAATTCAGAGTTTTTGGATTCTACATCGATGAACAGCAGATAGGTGGCTGTACATGCTGATACTCCTGCTGATCTCAGGCTCAGAGTTATCCAACTCCAAGGTAATTTTCAATTCATGAGATCTGCTGGGAGCAGTCGAGGGTCAGGCTATCTTTCCCTACAGCATTTCCTCGTGTGATCTGAGCCTCCTGTCACCAGTACTTTTGATTTTGTTGGTGTCCATCCCTCCTGCTCTCCAACAACCGCCTCCCTGGGCTTCCCTCACCCTGGGGCAATGATATTCCAAAAACGTGCTCTGATCTGTTGTTTCCTGTTCTCAGGCACCTCAGGTAACGTAGTTATTAACAGAATGCTATGTTTCAAGATGATGCTCAACTGTTGCCCACTGTATCGTGTAAAGTGAGAAAATGGGATTTCTTTCCACTGCTAACCCATCTGGTAGAGGAATCACTGTCTTACCAAAACCCACATCTGGATTTGGGGCTGGTGAGGGTTATAGTCTTTTGGCTCTTGTTCTGCATTTTCCACCTTAAAAATTCCAATAATATTATAGCTCTTCCACATTTCACTAAGTGGTTCATTACAAATATTTCTCATATTATGAAACGTTTATAACATTTCTTCTTCTTTTACAGTTTCATGCAGGTATCTAGTTTATTTTGATCACATTCACCTCTCAGCTATTTTTCATCTCCTTCCATTCCATCTCAACCTCTTCTTGTCAACAAGTTCTCTTGTACTCTCAGGTCTTTTTCTCTGTAGAAGGTCAATGAGGTGATCACTATTTTGTAGGTCATAGGTAAAGAACACTGGGCTTGCAGGGGAATAGTAGAAAAGTGATGGAAACCCTCTTGGTGCCTTGTTAATGGAAAAGGTCCAAGGTCAAGGCCTGGTGCCCAGGACCACATGTGGAGTCAACACCATAGCTGGCCATCAGGGAAGTAGGGAGTCCATTCTAGAGAATTGTCCTCCAAAAACTAGAATCTGTTAATGACAGAATGCCCCATTGTCCCCAGGATAACTCAACACAGAGGCAAAAATCACTGACATGCACAAACCAGGGTTTTGGGTGAAAGGGTTGTGTGGAGGGCCGCCACTCAGAGAAGACTGGAACTGCTACCCAGTAACGGGAAGTCCTCTATCCTCTGAATCTGCTCCACCATCAGTATACCACCAGAAGAATGTGGAATCATGGCTTATGATTGGGGACCAGAGATCTACGCTTACGTGAAGGGATGGCAACTCTGGCTCTCAAGAGGGGACCACAGTTTTGGCTCACAGGAGGGGACCACAGTTCCAGGTTGATGGGAGGGGACCACAGCTTCAGGTTTATAATAGGTGACTACAGTTCCAGGCCCATGGGAGGGGTCATAATTTCAATTATGCTGGTTTTTACTATTTTCCTATCTCTATTTCTCTGTTCACATGATTATGCTTGTGTTTAAGAAAGAGCATTTTGGTTTCTGTGCAGCAAACAGAGGCAACAGTTACTTGCTGGACTGAATTTCTCACCAGAGGGATATCAATATTGAAGAAAGCCTCTCTTTGCTTTTGCTCAAGAAAACAGATGGATCAAATGTTTACTTTTCATGGTTGTCACCCGCTGCCACCTTGGACCATTTACCCCACAGCTCATCATGCCTGTGCCTCACTGCTCAGAGAGCCTTTGAGAGCTGCTGCCTCTGCCACCTCTACTCTGGTGCCTGCTGCCATGCCACCATCATGTTGACTCCCCAGTTATTTTCTTTCTCATCTGCCAAGTCCTGAGTCAATTTGTGGTCAATATAAAAGCACCTAAGATGAGAAAAATATTAATCTCATGTGATAAGGTTCCTCGCATGGTCCTTGTCAATGGAGTATCTGGATTTGGGCATTATGTACATGAATGCGACGTTCCTAAAGAACATAGTGATCACGGTGAGGTGGCAGGTGCAGGTGGAGAAGGCCTTGGTGGGGCACATCTTCAGGATAGTGATGAGATGTAGGAGATGGAAATGATAAACTCTGTGACTGCAATGATGGAATCAGAGGATGTAGAGAGGATAACTCCAGTGCCGGAGGAGTTATCCGAGCAGCAAAGTTTCAACAAAGGAGGGAAATCACAGCAAAAGGGATCTGTCTACTTTGGTTTATAAAGGGTAGAACCCAAAGCAAACCAGAAAACTTCAAACACTCATGCATCCACACACAAGGGGAGCAAGGAGAGCTTAAAGAAGATGATGAACACTCCGATGGACATGGGATTTGAGAAGAGACAAGAAGATGGCTACAACAGGGATCGTAGGCCATGGCAGCCAGAAGGCGGTTCTTGGCTGTGAAAATATTGCCACAGTAGAGATGGGCTTCGCAAAAGCAATGAGGCTTAATTAAAAGTATAGAAATAAAAGTTTCTTAAAAAGTGAGTTTTTACAAACTTCAACTGACCAAAAAAGCAAAAAAAAAAAAAGTAAGGATATAGAAATTTTTAGTCAATTTGCTTTACTCCCTGTGACATTTGTGCACTATACAGTTTCCTTATTTGTAACTGTTGTGTCATTCCTTAATAAGAGATATCAAAATGTCCAAAGATGTGGGCTGTCAACACTGTATCAATTGTATTGTTATGAAGCATATGATGCTTTCCAAAATGATGATTTATAAGATAACACTTAAAATATATATTGCTTAACCAAAGGATAAAACCTCTAACCACAGACTCCCTAAATTACAGGTGAAGGAAAGGGAAAGTATCGTAACCTTGAAATGTACACATTTAATTTGAGGCCCAACAGACTTGTGGGAAAATTATGTATTTTATTGTGAAACTGTAGAAAGTGATAAAGATGATCATTAATCAACATTGGGCTATGTCTATGGACATAAAAGAAGTCATCAGGAAACAGCTCAGTCAGAAAACTGCTTGCCTTGAAAGTACAAGACCTGAATTTGCTCACAAAAGCCCACATAAAAGCTGGGCCGGATGGTGCATGTTTGTAAGCCAAATTCTGGGGAGATAGAAAGGGGTGGGGGCTCACTGGTCAGCCTGTCTAGCCTGTTTGGCAAGTTGCAGGAAACTGAGAGACTCCTGTTTCAAAAAACCAAAACAAACCAACCCCCCCCCAAAAAAAAAGGAAAAGAAAAAAAGATGATGTCCTGAGGGATGACAGCAAATGTCTTCTGATCACCACACATATGTGCTCACATGTCCACATACACTTGCACACAAATGTGTACCTACACACACATAAACACTATATGCACGCACATACAAATGAGGCTTACAGACATATATCCACCACATATGTTCCCAAAATGTCCTTAAACAGTTTATGAACACAATGAATTTCCTTCAAAATGAGGAATGTGTTCTTACCATCAATTTCTTCATGGCCTCTTTGACCTCCTTGTTCCTCAAACTGTAGATCAATGGGTTCAACATGGGGATCACCACTGTGTAGAACACAGACACCACTTTAATTTGGTTGGGTGAGTGGCTTGACTTTGGTATGACATAAACAAATGTAACTGTCCCATAAAACAAGGTGACTGCCGTGAGGTGGGAGGTGCAGGTAGAGAAGGCCTTGCGCCTCCCCTCAGTAGAGCGCATCTTCAGGATGGAGTGCAGGATGTAGAGGTATGAAACAATGATGGTAAACAGGGTGATCACAATGATCGACCCCGCTGAGATGGCAGGAGACATTTCAGCAATGTCAATGTGGGTACAAGAAAGTTCTACGAGTGGTGGGAGGTCACAGAAGAAATGGTTGATTTTGTTTGGTCCACAGAAAGTCAGGCTCAGTAAACAACTGGTAAATGATGATGAATTCATGCACCCACCCAGATAGGAAACAACCAATAGGATCATGCAAACCCTGGGAGACATGAGGGTGGAGTAAAGCAGTGGTGAGCAGATGGCCACATAGCGGTCATAGGCCATGGCAGCCAGCAGGAAGCACTCGGCTGTCCCAAAGACCACATCAGAGCCAAGCTGTACTATGCAGCCAGCCACAGAGAGGACTGTTCTCTCTCTCAGGAAACTCATAATCATGACAGGTGTGACTGAGGTGGAGTACCCAATGTCCACAAAAGCCAAGTGGCTGAGGAAGAGGTACATAGGGGTGTGGAGCTGAGGACTTCTTTGGATTAACATGATGATGCTGATGTTTCCCAGTACAGTGGTAATGTAGATGGCCAGAAACATTACAAAGAAGATAGAAGAAAGAGTAGGATCATCTGTTAACCCCAAAATAATGAACTCTGTTACCATTGTGTGATTTCTAGTCTCCATCTTTTGTGAAGTGGTACCTATTGAAATAAAAACCAGTGGATCTTAGAATAAATTAAGTGACCTCATAAATGATATATTTTACTCAAAATTTAGCCTACTAAAAATGAAAATGTGGGTCTCACTTCAGCCTGTGTTTATGTTTCCCAAAGTGTTTCCAAATGTTATATCATGTGTGATTTTGGAATATTAACAATCGTTTATCTTAAGGTCATGGGTACAAATTGAACAATGACTCAGATTAGAACACAGGTATCACTCACAGATGGAACATGTGATCAATTCATGATCAATTCAGGTCGTTATAAAATGCATAGAGTGCTGATATTTTGGTACCCTCAGTGGTTGAAGTGCTAGACCTTATGCTGGAGTTTGAGCAGATTTCATTCACCCCTATTTTTTAGTCACAATGGAGCCAACACATTCCTGAGTCTTATAGTTACTTGAGATTGTGAACAGTACATGTCACTGTGCTGGAAAAGCAAATACATTTTTTTCAATATCAAATTAAAGTACCAGTGGATCTGAATAATTTTACTTTGAATATTTCCAGCTCCATTTGTTTACCTGAGAATTTCATTTTTTCTTAACAGCTGGATAATAATTCATTGTGTGAATGTACCGTATTTTCATTTTCCACTCATCAGTCAATAGACATTCATTTCGTGGCTCTTGTGAATACAGCAACAATGAACATGTGTGAGCAGGTGTCTTTGTGGTAGAATGTAGACTCAGTTGGGTTGTATGCCCAAGAGTGGTACAGGTGGTAGAGCTATTTCTAGCTTTTTGAGGAACCTCCACAGTGATTTCCACAGTGTCTGTACCAGTTTGCACTTCTACCACCAACGAAGAAATCCTCTTCTTTTCTCACACCTAAGCCAACAGTTGTGAATTTTTTTTCAATATATATTTTAATTAAAATTTATGCATTTCATACAATATATACAATGTGTCTTAATAATATTTTGATCCCCTCCCTTATATGCACACCTCTATTGCCTTCCCATTGAATTTCATGTGTTCAGTCATATGTGTTAAGGTCTATGGAGTCAAGTTTGTGTTCCCCGATGTCCCTCGATGTGAGTTCATCCATTGGAGCCTGGTCAATCTATCTAGCACCATTCTGATAAAGAAGACCAACTGTCCCTCACCTAACAGTGATCACCTGCTAATGGTTACTTGGCTAATGTTGGGTCTTCTTGCCCGTTTTGCCAGTTCTATGCTAGGTTTTTGTCTGGTTTGAGTTTGCATGGGTCTTGTGCATTCTGTCACCATTGCTGTAAGCTCACACAAGCATGTTCCCAGAAGCCCTGAAAACTCTTTCATTGGGGTCATCCACCACCCCTGGCTGTTAACACTCTCTTTGTTCCCTCTTCCACAATGGCCCCGAGCCCTGAGTGCCCGAGGTTTAATCTAGAAGTCCTATCATGGGACACACACTCTGCAGTATCCTATTCTTTACATTTTGGCCAGTTGTGGTTTTCTGAGTTAATCACCATCTGTACCGTTATACCACTCCCTGGCCTATACCCAAAGGACTCGTCTTATTGCAGAAGTATTTGCACAGCCATATTTGTAGCTGCTGTTTTCATAATAGCTGAGAAATACAAACAACCTAAATGTTCCTCAACTGATGAATGGACAAGGAAAATGTGATACATTTACACAATGGAGTTCTACTTAGTGGTAAAGAAAGACGAAATCATGAAATTTGCAGGTAAATGGATGGAGCTAGAAACTGTTGTTAACTTTTTGATTTAGCCATCCTAACTAGGGTAAGATGAAATCTCAAAATAGTTTTAATTTGTATTTCCCTCATGGCTAAGGATGTTGAACAATTGAAAAATTAAAAAAAATATTTCTCAGCCATTTGTACTTATTCTTTTGCAAATGCTCTGTTTAGGTCCATGCCCCTATTTTTAATTAGGTTTTCTGTTATATTAGTTTTTGGTTTTTTGAGCTCTTTATGCATTCTAGACACTGACCCTCTGTCAGATGTTTAGGTGGCAATGGCTGTTTCCCATTCTGTTAGGCATCATGTCACTCCATGATGGTGTCCTTTGCTGTACAGTCGCCTTTTAGTTTCTGAGGTCTCATTTGATGATTGTTGGTCTTAATCTGTGCTACCTGGATCCTATTCAGAAAGTCTTTCATGTGCTTAAAGGGTGAAGCCTGTCCACTACTTTCACCTATAACAGATTCAGAGTACCAGGTCTTATGTGGAATTCCTTGATTCATATGTGTATGCTAGCTTTGTATCTAGATACATGTGTTTTAATTGGAGTATGCATAGAAATCAGGAAACAAGTAAGGGCCCATTGGAGGGTTAAGAGTGGGGACATAAAGTGCAGCTGTTGTGAAGCTGGAGTGGGGAGTAATGGAGTGGGAATGGTTAAGTAGGGTGGGGGATGGAAGGGCAAGGGAGAGGAGGGGCTATGGGAGAGGGCAACTGGCAGTAAAGTCTTTTGGAAAAGCCATATGGAAGATTACTACTGTAGAAGTTTCCTAAATATATACATAAATAAAAAGTGTTTAAGGGGTGTTACCCTATCACAGGTGGACAATGTCTATACCGGATGCCATAGGGTATCAGATACAAAGTCCAGAGTCAGGAATAGGCTCTCTCTTTTTGAGTTATCATCCATTAGCATTCCATAGACCCCCAAACATTAGTGGCTATTGCCATTGCTCTTAGTTACCCTCTGGAGCTTGATGGTAAGACTCTATTGCTGAAGATATCATATATTTGAGTAATATAATCTGGGTAGATCAAGCTGGTACTGATCTTGAAGCTTCATCTCTATTGGTTATCTTTCATAGTGTTGGAAGGTGCTATTCATGCTACTGGGGGAGAAAAGTAATCATCAGTCTTACCCAGCTGTGAACCCTGCTACAATAATGACTGGCCTGGCAAGATACACCCACTGTTCCAATAGTGACACAAACATTATGAGAGTAACCAATTGTTTTGTAATGGGATTTATGGCCCACTCCACAAAGCAAAATTCATGCCTGGCACCATTAACAGGGCAAATAACTGCAGGCTAATTGTATCATAGGCCTTAGGGGAGCACTTACTACTGTAATTCTGCTAACTTGTCATAGTACTAAACTGACTTCTAAAGACTTATTATTTATGCCCATAAATAAGTGCATCTCTCAACACTGATCAGAGAAGCTTCTTTGTATGACGATTAACACAGGACCCATAAGTGATCTACGTGAAGAGAATTAAGAGGCTATGGACTCCCAAGACTCAGCAATCATCACAGAAGGGGTGTGTGTAGAAAACTGTAAGGGCTAGGAGGCAGTGGATGACTACAGTAAAACAGTGTTTTGCATGAATGAACTGACAGCAGCTGTGACTACATGCACCAGACCTGCTTAGGATTAAACAGACAAAATTCCTGCGTGGATGGGGGAGATGATCAGTAAGTAAAACCTCTAGCTGATGAGCTATTGGCAGTTAATGGCTTCTGGGAGCTGGGAGTGGTAGAGTCAGTTTTCTTCAGGGATGTGGCACCTGACAGGCTATCCATGCTCCAGTAGATGGCCCTGCAGTCATGGACATAGTGGCAGCACTAAGTGGGCTTGTGAGTTTAAAAGAAACAGCAAAGAAAGAACAGATGCCATCCAGAAGGAATAGTGGTGGTGGAGATTGGGGAAGAATTGGAGAGGAAGGAATGGCGGTTGGACTTATTCAAATCACATTATATGCATGTATGGAATTCTCAACCAATGGAAGAATAAAGTACCAGTGAGCAATTCTCCTTTTCCACAGTGCCATATTTCACATGATACATTTATAATATTGTGGTACCTGTCACCAGCCTGGGCTTTGAGTGTGAAGAACAGAGAATATACTGTAAATATACTAGAAATGAGAAATAGAGCTATGTTGTTTTAGAACAAACTTAATCTCAAAGGTTAATTTGTTGGGGTCATATATCGTAACCTAATCTGACTGATATAATTTCAGATTAGCTATAAACAGAAGTTTTACATAAAGATTAGTCATATGAGAAGCACAGGAAATAAGCTCACTTTTGGTCATCTTTGTGTAGATGAAGAAAAGAATGCATCCCACAATGTTACATTTTAAAATACGTTAAGAAAATACCAACTATTTATATTATGTTTAGTCACATGAGAGCATCAGATTAATTCATAAATAGCACCAACATCAAGTAATTTAATAAAAAATGAACGAGGAGTTTTAACCAGGGGAATGCAACAGATCAATAAAATGAAGGCAGACTATCATTAAGTGAATATTGTTAACAGGAATTATTCTAATGCATTTTCCATAAATGCTTGGGTTGCTAAATTAGGTAATAAAAATATGAAAATACTCAACATCTACAATGATGAGGTCAATGTAATTTACCCCTCCCCGGTTATATTTCACCACATGATCCATTACCTTGGATTGTAAATTAGAACAGTCATTTTGAAGAACAGTATAGAGGTTTTAAAGTCACTAAATCCATATAACCCAGCAATTTCACTTGTGTGCACATATTCAAAGGACATTGGTATGTCAGAGCTATATTTACATACCAGAACTCTTGGTAGCTTACCTCAGAAGTAGGGATGATATTCTGGGGTTCCAGAGGGTGACTAGTTCGGAAGAACATTGAGGCCTGCACATGGACCATTCATGCATCGATTAAAAAGATTGCATGGTACCTGCTGGTCAAATATTACAATAAAAAATGGCCTCCAGGAATCATATTTGTACTTCAGAGCTCTTTTATGAAGGACTTGGGACCATTTGCAATGCAAGACCATAAGAACCTCATCACTAGACACACATATCTTTGTTAGCATCCTATTGAAAAATCTATTGGGACAAAATCCAGTGAGACTGAGAAAATTGGATGTTTATGTTTTCATATATCATTGAGTTGTCTAAGATATTTCTTAAAATCCCAGGGGCTTCATTTACTCTCTTCATTATTAGTAGACAGTATTACAACTGCTATTTAATTCGTTTTGAACTT